TATATATATATATATATATATATATATACAGTATATATATTCACACAGATAAGAATACCGAAATGTTGTGCATTCCTACCAAAAGCAAGCCTTAATATCTTATGCAATATTTCTTCTTGTTTAAATGTAATTTAAACTTTCTCCAGGAAATAAGGCAAAGAAACGTATTAATAGTAGCATTTTTTTTAAGTGATCATTGTTCTCTCACCTCTAGTAAACTATCCCCCACCAGAGCGACCAGCAGAGGGTGTCCCCCGCGCTGACGGACCATTGCTGCGTTCTCAGAGGCGTACATGCAGGTAAAGTCAAACATAGCCACATCTGGCTGCCCATAGTGGTTGATGGCAAAGTTCAGCATAGGGAGCTGATGGTTGGTGGAGAAATCAGCTGCTTCACGGGCGTATAAAAGCAGTGCATTCTGGTCCACGTTATTCCTGGACAGTAGCATCTCAGTGTCAGCATAATCCTGCAAAAAATACACAAGCGAATAGTCACTCAAAAAAGCAATGAGTATGAAATGCAGATTTATGCACACAACATTAGACTCACGCGCAGAATGACTCCTTTCTCCAGAAGACTTTGTTTTTTGGCAGTCATTACAAAGTAATGAGTGTCATCTTTGTAATATACTATATTCTCTAGATCAATTCCTGCACAGAAAGGATGTTGACTGAAACTCATTATTGTTTACATAATTGTAAACACATTAACACATGATAACTCATTCATATTTGAGAAGACAAAGGTGCATAACTATACAGAAATGTATATTAGTTGCTTAAAATATATTTGAGTGCAATACATGAGCTTTTGGTATCTTTAAAGTGTAGTGATGTTTTAGTTACAATGAAATAATTGAGTACCGGTAGCCTGCCGGAGGTCCTGGAAAAACCTCTGGTTGAAGATGAAGGCAACACCACTGATCTCCTCCACTTTAGCCTCGGCGGTGGTGTTGCGATTGATGAAATTCGCCGTGATGGCAATGGCCAGTTTCCCCCGAAACTCCTTTCTGCGAAACCCTAACAGACCCAGACAAATAAAACCATCATAAAGAGGCTTTGAAACCCAGAAAATGAATTAATGACGTCTAAAACAGGGTAAAATTAGAATAGGGGAACTGTCTGTTATAGATGACGGTGAAGCATGTGATATGCTTCTTGCCACAGTTAGTCACTTTTCAAGCATTTAATGTTCTTCAGTTCATGATGACATTCCACAAGATATATATTTTTTTACTTCAGTATTTCAGTCCTTCAATAACTGTTATGTGTCTTTATATTATATTTTGACATCACAGTCATGATAACAAGCTTTTCATTCTAGTATTACACAATATATTTTCCTTAATATATTCCTTAATGTTATTTCTGGATGCTGATATCTGGCTGATAAATCACAAATACATCATATATTATCTCATTCAACAGTGTGGGTAAGTTTTTAAAGGGGTCATATGATGCGATTTCAAGTTTTCCTTTCTCTTTGGAGTGTTACAAACTCTTGGTGCATAAAGAAGATCTGTAAAGTTGCAAAGACTAAAGTCTCAAATCCAAAGAGATATTCTTTATAAAAGTTAAGTCAACCACGCCCTCCTAAAACGGCTCGTTCTAACACACCCCCAGATGTCTACGTCACGATGTGGGAAGATTTGCATAACGCCGCTAAAATGTTCACGCAAAGAAAGAAGGCGTAACTTTGATTCTCGCTGTAGTATTGTTGCTGCCACCGCCATGTTGTGGACACGCTGTGTGCTTCGTTGTGAAAGCGAAACTACTTTGTTTGGCCTTCCAAAAGAGGACACAACTAGAAATCAGTGGTTAAGTTGTATTTACAACACTGTTCCAGAACAGTTCAACCCAAATATTCAGATGTGTGCAGCACATTTTATGGAGGACGAGGACTGTTTCCTGGGAGAGTAGACTACAATGCCGGTGTCTGTTTCTATAAAGTGGGGCAATTCCAACTCACTTCTGGCGCTTCTGACTCACAGCCTGTGAAAGTGCGTTTTCATATTTAAAGGATTTGCCACTGATGATTCAAACTTGGCCTTCCAAAAGAGGACACAACTAGAAATCAGTGGTTAAGTTGTATTTACAACACTGTTCCAGAACAGTTCAACCCAAATATTCAGATGTGTGCAGCACATTTTATGGAGGACGAGGACTGTTTCCTGGGAGAGTAGCCTACAGTGCCGGTGTCTGTTTCTATAAAGTGGGGCAATTCCAACTCACTTCTGGCACTTCTGACTCACAACCTGTGAAAGTGCGTTTTCATATTTAAAGGATTTGCCACTGATGATTCAAACGTGAGTTTTTAGCAGTGTAGAGTAGCGCTTGTTGTTTGTTGTTTCTCCGATCACAAATGCAGACATGGTTTATGTTTACGCAGCGCGATACGCAACGCAACACGTAAAAAGACAGTATATTATAATCCGTAATTATGTCCCCACTGGATGCAACAAATGCCTCGTTTATAATAGGTTTTATTGTTTTTGTCTCGTAGCTCCGGCCTGACGGGGCATCACAGTACGGTAAGGGGCGTAACATTTCCATCACACGCTTGAGGTATTCAGCCAATCACAATGCACTGGATAGCTGGCCAATCAGAGCACACCTCTCTTTTCAGACCGATGAGCTTTGTAAAAATCGACTCGTTTCAGAAAGGCGGGGCATAGAGGAGAAACAATAATGTACAGTATGTGGAAAATAATGTGTTTTTTTAACCGTAAACCGCATAAACACATTGCATTACACCAAATACACAAAATAATCTTTTACATTTCTTTAAGTCTAAAGCAGTAGGATTTTTTTAGCTTGTGCCACTAATAACCACAATATGAGTGGCATCATTTCCTATTTCCAAACAAATTAAAGAACAAATTGTACACAGCACATTTTTGGGTTTTGGCGTATGTGTGAGAGAGAGAGAGAGAGAGAGAGAGAGAGA